TGGACTTTGTTGCTTCTCAGCTAGATGGTCACTTGTTTATCTTCAAGCTTGTAAGATTCCAGAAGCTATATCTTTTGATAGCTGGGCACCATCAGCTTTCTTCACATTTGCTTATGCACCCATTTTGTCTTCAGCGATTGCGTCGGGAAGGTGAGCATCACGGAATGCCAGGTTATTAGAACAAAGTGTTTTTGCATTGAAGGAGTACTTGAGTAGAGGCCCAATGTCTGTCTGCTTAACATATAAAAACACTTAACATATAAATATATGTACATAGATCTATTTCCCTATTGTTATACAGTAGAACACCGGACCTCGACGCTAATCCTTTCTAGGTGGAGCTTCGAGATGCAATGCAGTTGAGCTCTGAATCAAATTTTCCCATAAGAAATAACTGGAAATGGATTAATCCATTCTTGACCACCAGGTTTTTACCCTAACCTTGTCTTTTTATTCAAAACATTACACAGAAATTTCAAAGTAAATAAGTTTAGAGTTAAATAATATAATTTCAATAAGAAGCACAACATTAAAAAAGTTTTTAACAACTACAGTATGGCCCATACCTTCAGATTGATGAGAAGAATCTGGATCTGTGGACAAGGATGTGAAGAGCAGGTAGAGAGAGATTCATTGTTTGGAAGGGGAACTTTTACTAGGAACTTGCTGGCTTTCTCTAAAAAACCACAACAACAAAGAAACTGTCTAATGTGGTCTGTTACTGATGTTTCCTTAACTGTTTTCTATGAGGGTTTATTAAATTATCATCAACAATATCGATAACACAGTTTGCCAGTTCTTTATCATGAGATTCTTTTCAAACAACTTTTTCTTAGGACTCATGTTTCTTAGCTAAAAACAGCACAAAAAGCCACAAAAACTAAGAAAATAAAAGCAAAACGCTTGGAACACAGCTAAGAAAGGTTTAAAGAACACATACTAACAACGCCAACTAACACCAAGTGACCAAAGCACAAACTGCTTTTGTTTACATAAATCACGTAAATTGGGTGGGATTCCAATGTTTCGTTTGAGCTACATTTCGAGCCCAAATCCAATTATGTCGAATACAGATTTGGTCAAGTACAGGGATATTATTGTATATACATTTACATATGTACATGCCTGTATTTAGACCTCTATAAATGTCTATTGCCTCCTAGTTCTTTCCTCTAGTTCCTTTTACTTTCCTCTTGTCCCACTATCATGTTTAGCTAGCCTTCAGGTTTCAGTAATTCCTCTTGGCTACATTGCCCTTGATCAAGCCCAACCAGGGATCCTATACCCTCCTCACCACCGATTTTAGATCACTTGTTGTTCCCTTATCCCTGGGTTG